AGCAGAAGCGGTGAAAGATCAAAGCGCAGCGATAGCAGATAACACGCTTTGCACTCCCAGCTAGCCAGCCTCCGTCGACTGCACTGGGAGAAAGAAGGGACTAAAAGAATTATGAAATAAATTAAGAGAGTGATTGTTGGTTTTAAAAAATATTACCTGAGATCATTTCTAAAATTAAAATATTAACAATCCTTCAAATCATAAAATTATTTGTAAATTATGATAAGTTTTAGCCAAGTTCTTAAATATTAAAATAATTTGTATATTACAGAAATTAATTAAAATCTATAAAGGTATATTTGCGTTGTGTCTAAAGTTTCAAAACTTAAACCATAATTAGGGCTATAGAAATATTGATATATCTTCTTGTACAGAACTCAGATAACTTTATACCTATAAGATATAGTAGAGCTCTTTCGGAACACTAGATACCATAAGATTATATGTTAAACAATAAAATATATTTGTTGTTATTTAGAAACTAATTTTTTCTTACTTCTTCAATATAATCCCAATTTTTCTTAGTGCTCAGGGGATGCGGCTGATCGGAGCTCGAGCAGGCGGCCCTTTTTGCCGCACAAATAGATTAGTTTCACATGGCCATGGAGCCGGGGTTCCAGGGCGCCATAATGCACACAGAGGGCCGCCAGGCGCTGGCCGCCGCAGAAGTTATGAAAAATTAATAATAATGTCGAATCGATTGATTTCAGAGTGGGCCGGGGCACCACCACCACCACCACCACTGCCTCAAGAGGCTAGCACCACCTAGACGGCTGGTCGTCGTCACCATGGTGCACCACCATCGTCGTCATCGTCATCGTCATGATCATCGTCGTCGGAGGAGGATTGTCTTGGCCAAGTCCACAGCCACCCCGGGGCGTCTGCTTGGGTATCGTCGTACTCGCTTTCTTTGGGTGTGTGTGGAACTGTAACTAAATAAAAGGAATCGATGGTAGTCATTGGACCTCAATGTTTAATACTCTATGTCTAGGATTATAGAAGATTATCAACTAGGTTAATACAATATTATATCTTTTAAAAAACCAAAATTAATTTAGGGTTAAAGCTGAGATAGTTGGGGATACATTTTTAAGAACAAAAAATATTTAGCTATCTTAATCTCATTTTTACAGATTAAAAACGATAACCTTTGCTCTTTCAAAAATATAATTTGTATACATTTATTAATTTTTAAAAGATATTTTTAAGTATTACTTTATTGGCTTGTTGATCTACAGCTTGATCTACAAATAGTTGAAAATACTCTAACCCATCCGCATCACCATAAAAAGTGAAATATTTTCTGTAAGCTCACTTAGCGCCTCCAGCCAAAGTCGTACATTTTCATCACCCGACCGGGAACAGGATCAGTCTCATGGAGCCACAGTTCATAAGCCAAGTTCTGGCCAGGTCCAGGCTCTGTCCAAGTTGTCGTCGCCATCCTCGCCGTCGTCGTCGTCGTCTGGATGCAAACGTTTTATGGTCTGCGGCCGGTCAAGTGATGCATTTTTCATGACCAGTTTGTACGATTTCCTTTCCGCAAACGCACTGAGCATTTTCATGTAATTCAATTCTGGATTTTCTCTCCCTCTTTTCCTTTTTGTTTTTGTTTTTCTTTTTTTTTCGTAATGTGTTTACAATTCTATTGGCAGAGTGCACTTGGGTCTGGAATATTGGTTTCGGGTCGCCTGTTGGGGCTAATATCGAAGAGAGGAACCAAGCTGCGTTAACATGAGCCGAGTCTAATGAAATACGACATTTGACTCGTGCTGGGGTCTCGCTTACGTTTTATAGGCGTGGGATTGCTCTGGGCCAAATTAATAAGGAAGAAACAAAGGAAAGAGGCCTCGAATGGAATTTAAACAAAGTGGAGCAATGTTGGGGGAGAAAAAAGGAATCTTGAAAGGTTATACAGATGTGTAACAGTTTATTTTGTTTCAATTTTTTATTTCATTTAAAATTCTTATAATATATTGAGCTTAAAAAACAGATTTTGAAGAAAAAAATTACCAATTAAAACTGCATAAAAAAATATTTATAAATTATATATAAAAGAATTAATTCTTAGAAGCCTAAATTCATTACATTTTTATTTTAATTTATTTTTTAATATGATCATTATAATATAATAAAAATTTCCTTCTCTGGTGAACAGTTCGACTGTATAAGCCTAACACTTCCAGCAATTATATGGCCCGATCTTGTGCCAATCGGCCAAATCAAAGGCTTACAACTAGGCGCGTGCCCGACTGACTGACTGCCTGACTTCCGCCTAAGTCGAGTATCTGGCCCCAAAAAACCTTTCGATGAGGGTTCTAACACTCCACAACCTTTCTTCCTAGTTAATATTCAAGCTGTCTACCGATAGTGGAGACGTGTTTGAGTCATCCAAAAGTGCAACTGAATGTGGCATCGGGTGACTCGTTCCTTACCCCAGCCACGCGACCGGCAAGAGTTCAAAAGTTAGACCGCAAGTCTTAACTACGACTTGATAAATGCTGAGGCCAAGGGCAAATGAGTCATCATTAGCGGTTAGTATGGGTATTTAAATATGTTTTTTTTTTCTAATTTTGAGGGAATTTTATTGTCATTTATTTATAGGTTTTCCCATAACAATATGTAGGAATATTTGTAAACATTTAAAATTTAGATAAATATCAACATTAAAAAATATATGTGTGATATTAGTGCATTTATATGCTTTTAAATAAATATTTTATTTATTTATCCTGGTAAATTTATTATTGCACTTTATCTAAGTTTATAAATTATTATAAAATATGTTTTTTTGTACTTTAGCTAATCTTTCAATCAAAGGAAATAATTAAAATTTATCACAAATTTATCCAAAATGTCCTAAAATGTTATACCGTTCCCAATTGAGCAGCTTTTGGCAATTAAATATATTAATTTGTATGCAATTGTTAGCCTCTTGCTGTCTTACACCTCTTCAAATCGATTCGATTGGGAACTCTTTGGGCTAATCGAATATTCATTGCATATAACGCACGACTTGTTTATGCTTCGCTTCGTTAAATGGTAATTTCCTTCCATGTCCCATAGCTGAAATTCTAAGCCAAGAGTTGAAAAAAAAAAAAAAAACCCAAAAAAAAAGAGACACGAGTCCTGTTTCCCAGTCATTGACAGCAATTTGATGTTAAGTGTGCCGGCTTCTGGGGGCGAAAGTCGTGATTTATAGGGCTATTTAGGCCAGGCCAATAAATTCCCTAAAATATGCAGGAAACTTACAAAAATAAGTTGAAAATAAATGATTTTTAAAATTTTTAAAGAACGTATTTTTGCGTGCTGAAAAGTATTGAAAAAGAAAGCTTAACATTTACAGAATTAATTTCTGATCTTTGTTGTTAGAAAAACATTAAGACTAAACTTAATATGATATTAAACAGTGTATTTAAATCCAAAAAATAGTCTCCGTTCCTGGAGGCTTAACTTAACCTTTAACTTAATAATAAAAAATTAACTAAATCCAATCCAGAGCCCTATATTTCATGCATTTCTTTAACCAATCGTGATAAAAATGCTCCACATTTTCCGCAAAATACAAGCAATCAATCTCCATTCCCACATTCCAGTTGCGGCTAATCGAAGGCAATTAAAGCGAGTCACTAAGACCCACCACACACACACTCGCTTGCACACATGCACGCAAAATCAAAAAGGAAAATAAAGAAAAAATCTGGAAAAATCAGATTTCTATTGGCTCGCACCGTTTAAGCCGCCTTTTGCGTTGACCACAAAACACTACTAAGGCCAAAACAAAGCAAAGAGAAGGAGAGAAAAAAAATTGTAAATAGATTTTAAACGAGCATTGCCAGCGGCAACCAATCAAAAACCAGTATAGCACACACATAAACCGGCCCACACACACTCGAACGCACACACAGACACCACGCCAAGTGAGTGTTAACCAAACAAATGAGTAGAGTTGCCAACGTATCGGAAAGATAGTTATTGGCTTAAACTTAGCTCTGACTAAGCTTCAGTCCGCACTTAAACAGTGGTTATGTAAAATATTCACAGATTATATCTGTATTTCCCCCCCATTGACTGTTTTATTATAGCATTTATCGGCCTTAATTGATTTATGGCTAATTTGAATAGATTTACAGCTGAGTGGGTAGCGAAAAACCGGCAACAGTCCGCCGGTGTGTGAGAGTGTGCGTCTCTTAACCTGTTGATTGTGTGTGGAAGAAGGCGTTTACAAAATGATCGCTTCGCTGCCTGTATTGGTCAGTTGGCCAAGACGGTTTGAGTGTGTGTTGGCTTGTTTGTGAGCAACCGATTATGAGCGGGGTAAATACACTTGAGGAAATATATAAGATTTTTATTATAAATAACTAAAAATGCAAGAATTTTAATTAAATTATTTTGAAACATTTTAAGCATGTACATTTGTTTATAAATATGATAGTAAAACATTCTAGATCCTATAAAATTGGAAATATTTAAGTTGAGAATAGAAATAAGAACTTATAATTTACTTTATTAACAAAAAATAAAAGTTGTTTATAATTTTTGTAATTTATAATATTTGTTTTATTAGTATTAATTTGAATATAATAAAAAAAAGTAATAAAGTAACCGTTGAGACAATGAAATACCCGGTACCCAAGCCTTTGTGCTTTAAATAAAACAATTTCAACAGTCATGAGGGAAGCTTAAAGGACACAATCCCCATCTCCCCCAATCTCTTATTTTTCATTATTTTCCACTTAATAATAATTAACTTCCAACCACTTTATTGTGCCAGTGTACAACCGAAAACCTCATTGGGTGAGCCCAATGCTAAACAGGGACGTTCAGAGCCCAGCTGGGTACCGGGGGGCACTAGAGACTGGGGGACTGGGGGCATGTGGAGATCGGAGCGAGGGATCTTGGCCCGATCCGAGCTGCGAACTGAACGAAAGCCGCCTTACCTGTTTCGAAATCAAGTTTGCCTTTGCCGCTTCTGTGTCGCTCCGGTGATCCGCACAGAAAGGTGCACGCGCGCATTCAACACGGTTGTGTGGCCCCCGATCCGAGGCTCCGAGGTTCTTGTGTGATTTCGTCGACTTATTCGATCGGAAACGGAACGGATTTTCAAAAGGCCGCCTGTAAAAGCCGTCGGTATATTTAGCTAAACAAAAAAAAATCCAAGTCAACCAACGTTTACGTAGTGCGTCATTCGGGCCATTTGATTTGCAAATTCTGAGCCATCTCAGCTTTTCTCGCAGAAGAAACCCCATAAATCTTGATCAAAGCAAAGTGTTGTTGAATATGCAATGATTCTATGAATACATATGTAAAGAATACAAAATAATAAAAGCAAATATTGTGCAATAGAAACCTCGAATGGGCTCTAATGTTATTAGTAAATAATTCAAACCCTAAGAAATAAATTTAAATAAATAAAGTAAATAGAAGCCATTGAGCAAGTGTCAAACATTGTGGATGATTGAAGTAAATTATGAAATAATTATTATTATGCCAAAGCTGCTGGCTCTATAACCCAATGGATATCACAAATTGAATCTTTCGAGCTGAGAGAGGTAAGTTGGGACCAAGGTCTACGCTGCGCATGCGCTCTCCCCCACCCGCACTCGCAATCGCACTCGCACCCAAAATCAAATCATAATTTACCAATTTCATTATTAACTTTGATAGAAATCAAACAACAAAATACTCAAAAAGGCGAGCAAAAGCCAAAAAGACAGGCAAGCCAAGACTCGAATCGAAACACAGTCGTACAATGAGATATATCTGCGGAGTTCTTCATTTCATTCAATGACTTTTGGTGGTCCCTATGCAAACAACTCCAAACAAATTCAAGCATCGACTCGATGACACTCCAAACGTCAACTCGAACAAATTTCGTATATATATGAGTTCACTTGACAATGAGTTGCAACAAAGACCCCAAACCGAAAACCGAACACTGAAAACCCAAAAGCCAAAAGCCAGCCCAAGATGCTAACCCCACAGACGGTAGTGAATACGCGCACTCGAGATGGAAATTTGAAATTCACTTAACAAAACTAATTTCAATTGTTGCACTTTCCGCCGATCCGGGGGTAGTATGTAGAACCCAGAATCTGAAGATTTTTGAGATTTTTCTTGGCGCCAGCCCAAGTGCCCTGGAAATGTGCTGTGTTTGAGTTGGAGTTTAACGAAAGTGATAGTGGGATGTTATGGTTTTTTTTTTTTTAACAGGAGAAGCTGCAGAAGAAAAGAGTAAAAATTGGGGAAAACTAATTTGTAGGTCACTGTTTTAAATATTTCTACATAAATTATTTGGTCTAATAGATTTTTAAATGAACAAGATTCTTAAACAATATGCTTTTTAATCTTCAAAAAGGAATCCTTGCCTAAGATTATAATATATTTTCCTTAAAAATTTAATTCTAATTTCATTAGTTATGTTTTTGTATATACAAAATATTAATATTTGATTTGGATTAATTTTAATAATTTTCTAAAATTAAAGACTATTAGAAACTGATTGTGAAACCTTTTAACTTGACATGTGGCTTGTTTATAATTTATTTAACTGCATGTTCGATCCAATTTTCAGCATTTTTTAATTCGCTTTCAGAGTAAATAAATTTTCTATACAAACAAAATCCAAATCGAAGGACTTCCACTATAATAAGTGAGCTTAGGCATTTCAATAAATCTAACACCAATTTGTTTACCCATCGATCTGTAGATTTCCCTTTGAAAAGAAAACATTTATAAGCTCTAGCCAGTTCTTCGAAGCGAAATCTTAAATTGATTGATCATTATTTAAGACTTAACGAGTTTCAAATGTGATCAACACAGATCTTAACCCAAGGAGTGTTTAGTATTTGTGTTGTAAGACATTTCATTAACCCCTAGTTACTTATCCGGCATCGGGGGACCAAGACCGAAAAGCCAGTCAAATGCCATAAATCATTTTCAACCGGCTCCTTATGCAATCGAAAAGGTACACACAAATATATCTCCATAAAAAGCGCCAAATCATCAGAGGGCATTTGGGATACTCCGAGAGCGAAGCGTAACAATTGTTCAAATAGGCAATAACAATACAAATCAGTTCCTCGGAGTCAATCGCCTTCAAAATACGCTTTTTGTGCCCCAGACTTTGAACAATTCAGACAATAACATGGACTATTTCCATGGACTATATGTACTTTCTGATCCGAGCAGCCTAATCAGCAATTGTTGTTTCATTTCATTAGCAAAGCGAAAAAAATACGAGTCTGCAGACTTTCATTAAGATCTACATATTGATTGATATTATCGTTATTTTTTGCCCAAATAACCGTGACAATCCGAGACTCATACCAGAAAACGCGTTGTCATTTCTGCTTTTAGAATTGCGTTTAAATATTTGCGAACGTGCGACACATCGCCACGAAATGTATGCGGATAATAAACGTGGCCTAGACAAGGTGACGGCAGCCACTCCGCCCATCACCCATCAGCAGCATCCCCACCAGCAGCAGCAGCAGCAGCAACATCTGCATCACCATGTCCTGCAATTGCAGCAACAGCAGCAGCAGCAACAGCACCTGCAGCAGCAGCAACATCACTTGCAGCACCAAATGCATACGCATCATAACTTTCAGGCACTCGAGGCACCAGCAACATTGTCGCAGCAGCAGCAACAGCAGCACATGCAGCAGCAACAGTCGACGCAGCAGCAGCAACACACAACGGCCCAGCAGCAGCAGCAGCAACAGCAACAGACAGCCGGCATGTTTACAAGGTGAGTTCTTAGCGCCAACACTCCGTCTCCGGAGTGGCTTATCTTCCCCGGGGAAAACTGCGCAAACATGCAAAGTTTTAATTTCAATTTGTTTCGCACGCTTCGATATTTGTCAATTCGGATTTGAAATACGAGGCCAAGTTCGCATTTGGCAGCAGCGGAACTCCTCTTGGCCCATTCTCTCAGCCCAGACTCCTTTCCATTTCTTCGTCGTCGTTGTGTTTTGATTCGCATGGATTTTCACTGCTTTTGTTTTTTTTTCGGTTGGTTCTTCTTCTGTGAATGCACTGTACGAAAATCTGAGTTGAAATTCTTAATTAATTTTTACTGAGAAATAATGTTTGAAGTTTATATAAGCAGAATTTTCTTTAGATTACCTCTTCTATTTCGCTTTTAAATCTAAAAATCATTTGTGTTATAAAATCGCCTCCAAGACCCGGTAATAAGTGGTCTGTGCTTATTTCTCTCCGTGCTTTGGTGCTGCTGCTCCTGCTGCCGGTTTTAATGGCCTCTTGTATTGGCAACTTGTAGTTCGCAGTTATCTGGCCCTCGTAATCTCTCCGGTCGGTCTGCGTACCCCCAGCGCCAATTCGCGAGGAGCCAAAAAACGCGCAAAATTCGCTCCGGAGCTTAAGCTGGAGCTGGCTGACTGCCGATGCTGTGCCATTTTATTTAGCTCCAATTAATTAGTGCTTCAAATGTTTTGCCATAAGTTAAACCCGCACAGTGCGATTGACATTACCACGTTGGCAATCGGACGTCCACGACGACGACGACGGCGTCGTTGGGTCCAAAAAAGGCGTCTCCACACCACTGGAACGGACGGGAACCACCGCCGATCTTCAGTCGCCAGTGGATCCGCAGACACGGGAGATGCCAGCCAAGTTAGGCACATCTCCTGGCTGCCGTTGCTTCTGAAATGTGTAAAACTCACGTGTGATGTTGTTGATGGCTCGTTCTTTGTCTGTTGAGATTTTTCCTGTTGTTCTTTTTTTTCCTTCCCTCCTTTAGGTGGAAAAATCCCCAGCCTTTGTGTGGGAGATTCTTGGGTAGGTGTTGCCTGGTTCTCTAGCTTTTTTTTGTTCCTTTTATATATTTGGGTGGGTGTCATTTTCTAGAGGCTGAATGAAGCGATACCCATTTAAAATTAGAGCATTTTGTAGTAGCAACCGGGCCAAGTCATTAACTTGTTGATAAGCCTGAGACAAAGACTCTCAATTGGCAACCAATTTAATTGAATAGTTTATTCGGAAGCTTAATTAAAGGAATATAGCTAAAGTTAACAAAGATTTATTTTAAGTAAATAACAAAACCGGATAACTAAAAGCTCCTCGTATATCACCAGCTCATTTCAGTTCATTCATCTGAATTTTACGTGACCCATGAAACTATCAATTAGCATACGAAATTTTTGGAATTCCCAGTCACAAAATAAAGTTTCAAACTTTTTTCTTTGCTCCCAAAAAAGAAATATCAGAAAAAAATTTCATTGTTCGCACGACCAAGCACGCGCTTCTCCGCACAATTTGTAATGGTAGTAAAAATCCGTCGGATTTCTATAAATATTTTCCATGCGCCAACGAGAAGTGCCAACAACACGCCTCGCACTGAAACAAACAACCGTTAAACAACGAAAACTATATCAATATGCTCTAAATAATAAATGACACTAATTAAACCCGAAGAAAACCCGGCGTTTGTTGTTTTTAACACATTCGGCCGTAGAGTCAACAAACCTGGTGGCACCACACACTCCACCAGCAAAAAAAGAAATACTAGAAAAAAGGAAGTCAACCATCCAAAGCCAAGGAAAAGTCAGAGTCAAAGCCAAAGATACTTCTCTTCGGACCCAAAGATACATTTGTAAGATGCATTTTTGTCGAGTGAAACTAGCCGAAACCGTTGCGTACGGATTCTGTTTGAGTTTTGCTTCTGTGTGTTTGCATTTGGGCCTGCTCCGTTGGTGTTAATTTTGGTAATTAGCATGCCGCGCGGACAGATACAATTTCGTCCGAGTATCTGTATCTGTAACACTGCAGAGAGCTCCGGCGGTGGCAGCAATTTTATGCTGCTAATTTCATTAACACATTTCACGAGAAAAGCGATCAGCCAAGCTGAGAGTTGAGATGGCCCGGCAAAGCTATTTACCCAACTTGGCCATTGGTGCAGTGGAGGCGATGCACCAGATCACCATGTGGTCAATACACTGGGGCAAGAGATTTTTAATTTAATTTAATTGCTAAAAAGATTTATATTTGATTTAGAAAATAATATTTTACATATTTCTGATTATTCGTTATAAATTTCAATAAATTTAGTCTAAAAAAATATCTAAAAACAGTTTGAATATCAAGGTTAAGATCTCTAGACCTTCCCAAATTTCCTTTTCATTAATTTTCTCACAGTGACTGACTTCCGTCATCTAATTTCTTAAATCAATATTTGGTGACGCGCGTCGAAACGGATTTTGGGCATTCCAAAACCAAATCCAAGCACACCATCATCTCTCGTGTCCCCGGACGACTTTGTAGTGCTGGGCAAATAAGTGCGCCACCTCCGCCGCGGGACTGCAGCGGAGATGGAGGAACCAAAGCCCGGGGCTTACCAAATTATTTAGTTGCGGCATCCCTGTGCTAATTGCCTGACGGTAAAGTGCAACAGCCGTCTCAGTAGCCCAGCCATCAATCCCGGCCAATGGAGAGCTGTAGCTGGAGCTGAAGCTGAAACTGTAGCTGAGACCCCTGGTTGGGGTAATTTCTGGCCAAGCCACCGCCGGGCACAAAAGTATACAGACCAGGATCGAACCCAAGACTGAGACCGAGAGACCAAGAACCAAGTCATGGGAAAATTTCCGTACACACACAATTTGGGGTTTGGCTTACGCTTGCAGGAGGAAAAAACTCAGTTTCGCACGCAAATTAAGATAATCGAAAGCAAATGCAGCAACGGTAGCCGCTCTCCATGGTTAGGCTCGAAAAAAAAAAGAAACAAAATGCAGCATTAAGCTACAGAAAAATCAGGCAAAAGAAACGGGTTTAGTACCCGGTAGCAACAAATCATAAAAATATGAAAAATTATGCGGCGGCGTCGGTGGCAACAGCAGCAGATTCCCTACTTCTCCAGCATCTTCGCCTCTCCAGCTTCCCCCTGTACCCCCTGTTCACTTCGAGCAAATGACGATGTCCAAGACCCAATCATCGAAGTGTGCTTTTGGCAGTCCATCATTAAATTGTGGCTAAGATTCCAATCAAACATACAAGACGGCGGTGCCAGCTCGATTTCATTTCTCAGCTGCGGTCGATGCGGTTTTCGGTATTGGGTTCTCTCGATCCCCCTGCATTTTCGTGGTGGCGTGGCCCGGCCTTTTGAAATATATATGCGATGCGTCAAAATAAACACAGTAGCTGCCCGCCAGACTACTTTATGGGCTTTTGAGAGCAGTAAATTATATGGCTGCGATTTACGGACACAGAGACTCGTAAGTCGGCTAATTGATTGAGATAATTGAAGGATGGCTTAAGGATATAGATTTGAGAGGGGTTTCTTTTGAAGATTGTGGAGGATTAAGGCGAGTGTAAATAGTATTCTGGGAATGGTTCATCTTTGGTATCTTTAGGTGGCATAAATATACTTTATTTATAATATTTTATAAGATATATCATCCTTTAAATACCAATACTTAGGTAATATTCCCCTGCCATATTTATCCCCCTTTAGATTTTAACGAGAATTTAAATATATAATCTATATAATGTCTGTTCACAGACTATACAAATGTAATGGTTATTGCGTATCCACCTCTCCTATCCATCCAACTATATAGCCTTAAAGACTAGCAAGACACCGCTCCTGCGCGCTCGACACTCCTCGCTCACCTGAGGCCGCCTCTCCTACCTTTTACCTATGTCCCGGCATATAATTTGGCTAAAGGCCGCAGCAGCACCCCATGGTTATTAGATGGCCAACATTCTGTGCCGTTTTTTTATACTCCCCTCTCTTCGAACACTTTTTTTACAAACTCTTTTTTTCTGTGCTAAACGTCGCCCCGATGCTAATCTGTAGGTGTGTGTGCCAGAGCCAGTATGCGGCGGCAAAGGTATCGATTACTGCCACCGACTTACGCGGAATACAATAAGGCACCCGCGAAGTCCTGCAGACAAAACAAGTGTTTGCCGCAAAAAAATTCCGAGAAACACACGCAGATCCTCGAAAGGTCCAAAGAATGGAAAGCATTGTGCGGCGCCGGGGCAATTAATTTGCCTCGAACTCTCTCGCAGACCTCGCTCGGTGTGGGTTCAGCCTGGGTTTAGGGTTACCCAAAGTCCGACTCCGGGCTTGGAGGGAGAACTGCCCATCAGTTTGAGAGGTCTGGCATTCATTATACGCCGTTTTGCACTATTTTTTTGCGCGCCCAAGAGATGCTGCAAATCGGTGCAGTTGAAGGGCGGGCCGGAGCGGAGTGGCCAGAAATCATTAGAGCTGCCCGCAAGCCCAATAGCCCTGGCCAGGCCGAACTATATCGTGGGAATATGGCAAATAAACTCGCCCAAATTACACACACACAGGCTAACACAGTGCTAGAAAGGAGAAAGGAGTCGCGGAGGGAGGGGTAAATCTCCAGCCAAAGACTAGACAATTCGCACAAGTCAAGTCAGGAGGAGAGAAGACAAGACGCTCCAGGAAAAAGTGCAATAAAAATTTGCGCAAATTTCGTGTTTCTCTTGGCCTGCAATTGGTATTGACTGACTGAGTCTGGGAGTCTCTCTGGCCAGTTCTGGGAGTGGATTCCACCGGACGGTGGGGCTCCTCCAATCCGACTGACGCCCCTGATGCATATTAAAACTCGACTTTGGATTGATACGTGCACTGAAACCAATAATTTAAAGGAATTCCAGGGTAAATCATATTGAAAATATTTCTAGAGAATTACATTTCCCTAAAGAAAAGTTTAGAATAGTCTAAGATAAATGGTTTTCTAAAAATATCAAATTTAAGGATTTTAAATTCATCAAAAATTCGTAGATTTCCCCCAGTGTAGCCTTCGCGGGTGGAGTTCACCTGGGGTAGATTGAGAAGTTCACTGGTCTTGTGATTTATACGCTGCCCACATTTTTACGATGGCGCTCTCAGGGCTCTCCATAAAAATCACTAGCGAAAGCGAAGGATCTGAGACAGCCCCATAGATGCGCATTTAAAATCCATTTAAGTTAATAGTTTGGCATTATGTTTCTTCTCCGGTTTATGTGCTAATTAGTGGGGAATCGGGAGACGACGATTGGCATTGAGATCATCGAAGGAATCTGAGCCAACAAGATTTGTGCCTAATTTCTGTGGAGCACGTTAAGTTCAGTACGTTTACTATATATACATATATATTTATCTAGTTGAGGGCCAAGTACCTTTGGTAACCGTCTGCTGGACCCGGCTTGATTAAGATCTCCTTGACTGCGCCAGTGGATCCCCAGCTGCAGATTAAGCATGTCGCTCCTGGAGCCACCAGCCACCACAGTGGCCACTGGCTGGACTGGATGATCCCACAACGCCTCGCTAAGAATCGTGTTTATGCTTTTAATTAGCAACAACAACTTGTACAGTAGTTGGTGCTACTTAGTGCAGATTTCAAGGTAGCGATAGATATATTAAGAAATGCTGACATGTCTGGCTCACTCAGATAAATTTTGATGTAGATTACACACACAAGGGGTTCGGCGGGGTCCGGCCCACTCTCCACCCGCTACACTCGCCTCCTGATAAATCTCTTCCCATTAACACGTTTTTTGGATTTTTATTTTCTTATTTTGTTGTATTTTTTTTTTTTTGGGCATGCATTACGAAAGGATGATGGCATTATCATATTATCGCCCGAGCCACTGGCATCTTGTTTATGATAAATATTTGAGAAACTTATTAATTATGCCACAAATAGCCAGCCAGATAGCAGATCGCAGAGGAGGCTTTTGACATTTTTAAGTAGCTAATTGGGAGAGGAACGTTCCCAGCCGACCGCGTGGGAGGATGGCTTCGAGCATGGAGGTGGGAATGACCAAAGTTGGTCTTTGGGGAGATATCGATCGGGCATAAAGCAATAGGTGATTATAAAGCTTTGAAACTTTTAATTTGGAAATAAAAAAATATTTATTTGTAGTATAAGAAATCAAAAAATTGGTTGTTTATCGTCTGAGAAAATATTATATGAGTTAGGGATTTATTTATATAGATAGAAAAATACCGCGCTTAAAAATATTTAGAAAATATCGTAGACTACTATTAATTGAAATCTAAATTATCTAAAAATATTGGATTTAACGTTTAAATATCGATTTTATCGAACATATCGTTGCAGCATCGATATATCAAAATTTATTGTCCTCCATAAAAGGTTCTAGTCTAGTTTTTTCCTTCTTATTGTTCAGTAAACCCTTTTCCAAAACACCGTAATATCTGTAAAGTATCAATATATTATTTTATTCTCTTTCTATCGATTAACTTTCGATAAATGAATATTTTTCTGTCATTCCTAACATGTGGCTTTGATAGTTTGTTCCTTTTTTTTTTGGCTATAAACCCTTCACCATAGCCCACACATTTATCCCTTCACCCCTGAAGTGTCACCTGGTGCTGGTCAGCGTCAGCTGGTGAGCGTCTTACAATCTCAGCCTTTAAATCAATATTCATTTTAATTGTACAAATCACCTTGACTTAAATGCGCCCGAGTTCGCCGTTTTGTGTGCGAGCTGGAGACCCTCGTCGACCACTCAATTCCAAGTGAATTCTCTGGCCTAGCGAGGTTCTGTTCTATTATGGCCAAGTGGTGGCAACGTAACCAACTTGGCGTTCTGGCCACTATATATTTCAAAGCCAGAAGGCGAACGAAGCGATCCGCATGGCCCCCAAGCTGTGGATGGCGTTCGATTTGGTTGTCGATTGTGTGTTTTTATTATTTCTGTAGTGCTTGTAGCATGCAACACTCACACTTGGATGCAGACGCGAACGCAGTGAGATTGTTTTAAATGTTAACATGGCCATTTAGAGGCAATAACAGCGGCAAAATGGCAGACAGTCGAGACGAGAAAGCCAAAAAGGCGCGGGCACTTGCTGTTATTACAACAATATTACCAATATTTATCAAAGAGGCTTGCAAAATAATACCCCAGCAACAGCAACTGCCCCAACAACAGCAACAATGGACGCTCGAACGTCAGCATAAATATAAAAAAAAAAAAATACTCATACGCCGCATGCGCCGCCGCCGCCGCTGCATAAAAAGACAAATTTATGATTTATGAATTCAACCTTGTAAATAATATGCTCACAAAAGTACACACGGACAGTTTTGCTAAACGTTTGTGCCGCTCGCCGCTTGCCCAAAACCAGCAACAACAAATGCAGTGAGAGAAAATTAGGGGAGTTACATTAAACAAGAGAAAAAATACAAATACAAGAATATTAGAAACTAGAGAAATTATTATAGAGAAAGCAACATATTAAGGAAATATTAAAAAAATTTATATTTAAAAAGTAGAACCATTGGTAAGCCTAAGAAAAAGTCTTTATAAATTTATATTAAGATTTTAAAAACATTTAGAGAAAAATTATTCGCTTTCTTTCTAATAAAATGTAATTAGTTGCTTGTATTTGTGTTTAAATTTATTTAGACGCACAAAATAACTTCTTGGCTTATTGTACCATCGCTTTTCCCAGTGTATAATGAACAACCATCGACCAGCGAATCGAACTGACCAACCTACTTGCACAATTTTTCCGCACAAGGCATGTGGCAAGTGTGCCCCACATCAACCACGGCAACAACTGCACCACCGCTGCAACTACAGCCACATACCGCTGCATGTTGTATGATTTTTAAATGTGCGATGAGTTATTTATGCATCGAGCATCGCGCTTCGGTATGTGCGAGCCATCCTTAACCCATTGTGGTCAGCGGTTTGAAAAGCCAATTGCTAAAAGTCAATAAATATTGGGTATAAAGGTGAAGTTGGGGGAAACCACTTACTTATTTTCTTTTATTTTTGTTTAAAGATATTATTTATATTAAATTTAGAAGAAGTAAATTTTAGAACCACTTAACCATGTTTAATTAAGACATTTTAAAACCACATTCTTGCACCTTAAAATTTGTATCTAAAAAATACCTCTACTTTTATTATCTCTCAAAACTGGCTAAAAATCCGAGTTAAAATGTGAATGGAAATGTATTTATTTTATTCCAAGACCATTAAAGTGCTGCTAAGCATTTGAGAAATTCCTCAACTGACATTTACTACGCCCGCAATGGGTTAATAAGCCCCAAAGCCAGGCAAACACACACACCCGAGTAGGCGGCTGTGAAAACACATGCCAGGCCTGGCGGCCAGAACGTATCTACTATGTTAGGTTACCGTATATTTGCTAGTTATTAAGCTGTGCCTGTGCCTTATATATTCTAATTGTTGCACTACGTTTACCATTCTTACCCCACATTGCAGATTCGATGCCAACAAGTCGACAAAGGGAGCCTCCAAGATGCGACGCGATCTCATAAACGCGGAGATAGCCAATCTGAGGGATCTGCTGCCCCTGCCCCAGTCCACCCGCCAGCGTCTTTCGCAGCTCCAGCTGATGGCGCTGGTCTGCGTCTATGTGCGGAAAGCCAACTACTTCCAGCAAGGTGAGTCCACTATCCGCAACCCAATCGCTGCCTAGCCCGGGCGATCCGTTGCATATATGCATGCTGATAATTGGCGCACGTTGATTGAATATGCATGAGTCATGAGCGCTCCGAGATTGTGATTGTGCGCAGCCGCGAAGATTGAGACTGCTGAGTGGAGGACTCCGGACTTGGAGTCGGACCCACCGCCGACTGCACTTGGGAAATGGTATTTGTCAGGGGAAAACAAGACATTCGGAAGGATAAACTTGAAGAAAAGTAGCTCTGGAAGATGAATTAGGAAAAGGATTTTTTAGAAAAATATATTTTTATATAACAGCTTTAAAGATTTATAATTAAATTATTTACATTACTTTTTATAGAAAGCTTCCCAATTTTGTTACTAGATTTTTTCCCAGTGTTTCGTTCAAGTCGAAATGAAAAACCGCTATGCGCACGGCTTCGCTTTGCTTTAAACCAACATCATTCATATGTCGGAGTGTCCCTCTATCACTCGCCTCTCGAATCCCCCCGGAGCTATGCCATTCCCGATTTCCCCCCGAAACCCCGTCCGCTGGCTAAAATTGTTTTTGGCCAAGTAATTGCCAAAGCGTCTAGGCACGCACCCAGGCGGGCCAAAATTGCCGCTGGGGGCCCCTCTCGGACCCATCGGAATCGGATCGGTCCCCGGTCCCCAGAGGTCCCAATCCCATCCTCCTTTAATGCGCAGGCGCGCAGGTCAACGCGCAACCGAACAAGATCGTTCGCTCTTTACTTACCTATTTTTCTTTTCGTTGTATATTTTGTTTTTTCTTTTTTTTGTGGATAATTACGAAAATTGTTTTTCAAATTAGCGTTGTGCGGTACATAGGCCCATAGATAACACACCGGCCGAGAGCCGGGAACTCTTAACTCTCGGCTCGCATCGCGGACAGAAACGAGGCGAAGCCGAAGGAAGCCCCATGTGAAACTATCGCAGATCCACCACACCAGGCCAGACTCCTCCAACCTCGCAACTCTATGCGGTTTGCCAGGGCAATTTCACAATTGCAATGGTAACAACGAGCGTCTGCCTGGCACTGCTATAAATATTGCGATAAATCAAAATGTGCGATTTATGTGTTCTACAAATTGCAAAAAATTAAACTTAAGTACTGCTTCTTTTCCCATCCCCCAACTCTCAGCCATCTATGTATCTCAGCGGCAGAGAGCTGCTCTCTAAGTGTGAGAAATTGTCGGCATCGTATCAGTATTGTATCTGTATCTTTCGGTTATTTGGGTGTGCTGTGTGCCGTTTTTGTTGTTGCTCATTGTCATTGCACCGTTTAAAAGCATTTATAATCACAAATTGTGTTAATATTGGCACGCCATCGAAATCGCTTTTTATCTGCAAGTTCAATGGATTCGTTTGCTCTCCGTCTGAGTTTTCTGTGTGGGTGTGGCACTCCGCAGATAGTCGCGATTAATGAAATACATATTTATAAAGCGAAATTGAGTTTTCAATACAATGAACGGGGGTTCTTGGTATGCAAGATCCCGAGATCCCCGGCGGCTTGAATCACATTCAGATCGAGGACCGTATAATTGGTATTTAGTATTGTAGTGTTTGCTAGCGAATCTCACAGAAGTTGTGAAGTGGTCACGGATTAAAAATAGTTTTTGGCTGTAGTTCAAGGTGATCATACCGTTTTGTTTATCTATTGGTTATAAATATTATTAGAATATCATTTGCAATTCCAAAAGATTAAATTACTGAATAAAATTAAATGGAAATTGAGTCTTTGAGTAGTTTTCCTTAAACCTTACAACAGTCTATAAATCTTTTAAAATAAACCAAAAAACAAATGTTGTTTGCTTACTACATAAATATAATATAATTAATATATATATATATAATTAATAGATTCTATTTTTAAAGGGAAAAGTATACTTAAATTTAATACAATTTACAGAAATCAAGAATTTGTCTTGATTGTTTAACAGCTATTTTGATTTTTTAAGCCTTTTATGCTTAGTACAAATATTTTTAAAATTAAAAAAAAATCCCATTATTTTAATGCTTAATTAATAAAGTCAATAATTTAAGCATTCCATTGTCAGGGTTATGTACTGGCAAAGTAGTACCGACAACATTCCCTTGCCCTTGTGCATTGCGGCTAAGTGGAAAAGCATTGAGCGCTTTGGGCCACTCCCCTTTTATTTTTATTTTGGCTGAATCAGGTACGCTGACGACAGAGACTTCTTGGCAAAACGGATTTCTGAGTATTTTGCCCGGATAGTGCAGTGGGTAATATTAAGGCCCAGCGAAAATCTGACTGCATTCATGGCCTTTCCGTTCAAGTTCAATGAAATTACCAGTTGCAGTGGCTGCTGCTGCTGTTGCAGTTGCTGTTGCTGTTGCCTCTGTGATTGTGGCCTGATGCTGATTTTGCGGCCGTTTCTTCTCGGTTTTTTTGTTTTGTTTTGTTTGCCAGGTGCGGGAGTATCTCGTAGTGTTTTAAAAATAATTGATCTTGATGCCGCCTGAAATGCAGCTGCAAAACAGCAATTGCACTTGGAGATTGCAGCCTGATGTTGCTCTGTTCGTTGCTGCTGCTGCTGCCTGGTCTCCACTGACAATGACACATTTTCTTTTTGTGATTCACTTGTTTTTGCGAAGCGACAAACATCGCCGCCTCATTGTATGTAGAATATAATCAATGAATTAACTATCAAATGCATCTAACAATTGGCGTCACCGAGTGAGACAGGGCAGGAGACGGAGCCCAAGTCCGAGTCTATTATTAACAGATAGTTTTTTAATTAGCCAGGCTTTTGCATACAAATTGCAGCCATGGGAAAATACTCAATACGTACTCATATATCCACTTAGTGGATGAGCTCTCCCCAGCTTGGGCAGGCCGCGCCTGCGCAGCTTACAAAAGGTCAATTAACTTAATTAGCATTATTTTCAAAGAATCCGTTTAACGTCTTTCCTCTCGTTGCAGTTTTTAAACGTCACAATGCGATGCATCATCTACACCACCAGACAGCAACACCAAATATTGGCTTCTCAAAGGTAAGCGGATATGGATTTCCCGGGAAATAGAATCTACACTATAAAAATATATATACAATTACTCTTTAAATTTAATAGTAAAGTTAGAGATACATCTTTATGGTTTATATAAATCTTTAAAATTCCAGGTACTTATATTTTATTACCATTACTATTTCCCTATCCTGTCACTATTTTTTCATAGTGTACAATTCATATTCAATCAGAGCGTAATTAGGAATCCGATTGGCCTATCTGAGTTCATTTAGAGTATAGCTTGTGGCCGCCTGTCTTCCATTTGCGATGACATTTCGATTCGGAACCAAAAGAAACAACTCATTTTAAGCAAAAGCAATCTCGGTGACAACTCAACCGAAAGTTCCCGGGAAAACAACTCTATTAATGGCACAAAAGCCGGCCATATCATAAGTCAGAAATCGTTTTGCTCGCCGCCACTTGCTGCGCCTTTTGCCGAAAGCGAGAAGAGGAAGCCGAATAACAATAAATGCCCGGGAAAGCCAGAGATTTGCAAGAGAGCAGTTACTAGCCACCAGCCACCAGCTACCAGCCACTAGCCACCATCTACCAGACAGTAGTCGGTAGTCAGTCAAGCTGCCTGCCTGGCACTGACTGCTCCAGTCGGCCGAGATTGATCTACATACCTGTGCACACTCGTGACTGAATTAAATACTGTTGCCAGTTGTCAACGTGGGTTTTGGCCGGGCTTTTGGCTCTCCAGTCTCCGGACTCTCGTCTCCGGTCTCTGGGCTTTGGGCTAACAATTTATTAGTGCAGAGACGCGAAAATGAATTTGCATTTTCAACACAAGATTCAATTTATGCTTTTTCAAATAGAGGGTGTTAAGCGAGAAGTTACCCGGAGGCATGATAAGGCTCTTTCCCATAAGTAGCCGGCTATTAACATGGGTACTTTAAATTGTATTACAGTTATAGATAAATTGGTCTCAATCACGGAGGATCAATAAATGACAGTAAATTGTTTGGGTTTCTATGGTAAATATGTACACAGAGGCAATGTTTTCTTTATCCAAATTCTAAGTAAGGAAAATGAGGTTTGGTTTGAGAATAATTTTAAGTTTATTTTATTTCAACCCAAGCACCCTGTATTCACACACTTATTTTTATTTTCAGGCACTCTCCGGCTTTTTGATGATGCTCACACAGAATGGCAAATTGCTCTATATATCGGATAATGCGGCCGAGTACTTGGGCCATTCCATGGTAAGACTCTCTGACTTTGACTTCTTTTGGGCCATTTTGCGAAAGTTTTAGTTTGTAGTTTGGATTTTTGGTTTTTCGGCGGGCCGGAATTGTTACAACCGTTGATACAAATCTCTGACAAGCGACAACAAGCAAACGACGATGCCTGTCGTCGTCAGAGCATGTCATAGTCTCCCAGCAGCAGCAGCAGCAGCAACATTAGTGCTGCAGCAACATTAGCACAGCAGCAACATCGGCACAACAGCAGCAGCAACATATTTGTTGCACTTTTTGTGCTGTACTAGTTGCTAGTTGCTAGCTGATGTTGTTGCTGCTCCCGTTGACAAGTTAGCAACTGTCTAAAGAGCCCAAAGAGCGACACACGGGGCCCGATTCATTGAGCTTATATAAATCCGTCCGTTGGCTGGTTTGGTTCCTTAAAAACCTCTGCTCGATTTTGCTGTTTGTGTTTCAAGCTTTGTTTATTGCACGTTTATGCCGCTTAAATAGCAAGGTTATACATGTCGGAATATATATACATTTATATATATGCAAGACTATGATATATCTACACAGGGACATATGTTAAGAAATCAGAAACATTCAATTTTAAAATGCTTAGAAATTTTACTATTTAGTAAAAATTTAATTATTTTAAAATAGTATTTGAAATCTTAAATTTGTACTTTATTTAAAAATCGATTCTTTCTTTCAAGTATTTTTTCCTTTGTTCATTTATTCATAATATATTTCATATTCAATTCAAAGGTTCTAAAATCATTCAAAGCATTTATTTATCAATATTTTCTCAGTGTATCTATGGCCTTTCACTTTGCATTTGAACCAACGTTTTTAAATAAATCTAAGCGACCCGAGCGAGCACATGTGACATATCTCCGCTCCACATATATAACACATGGTAGAACCGACATTGACAAAGGTACGCGAGATTAAAGCCCAGGTGATTGTCGGGCTCTTCCAGTCTTCGACTGCAACGAGGGCAACGGGGCGTATGTGCAACGAAAATTATGCCATAAATCAGAGACTGGCCTGTGTGATCCCAAAAATGTGGGTAATAGTTTTTTGGCCAGAACGAACTAAAACCTTGATCGAAAAGGAAACCCTCCTCCACTTGTTATTTTTGTATATTTTTTTATTCGACCAGACAACCTTTCATATCAACTAAATGTTGCACTGCCCCCGCTCCAAGTCAATAAGTTAGACAAGAACAAGCCAAAAGCGGGACAGGGGCACACACAAAAAACCATGACATTTGACAGCCTTTTGGCCTTTGTGCCGGGCCTTATCAGGAGTTCGGAGGAGGCTGGTACTTGGAGTGGGAGTGGGACTGGCAGCCACTAAGCTAAATGGTCAGTGGAGTTCATAAATTCGCTCGTATGCCATGTGTTGGCATAATTACGGGCACGGGCGCGGACACGGGCACAATAGCAACAGCGGAATTGCAATTGGTGTGCACATGGACAGGGCCCAAAAGTGGACTGCCCAACCTTTTAATTTGTGGCAAGGCTCTGAGTTAGTTAGCGGCGGGAAAAGCTGAGAAACCGGCAGCCACAGCCACCGACCAAGTTAATTAACAAACTGCCAAAAATGTCAATAGATCTTGGCCACATTGTAAATGCTGTTGCTGCTTTTGCTTTTGCTTTTGCCGATGCTGTTTGCCGCTGTTGTTGGGCATCATAATTCGAATTCGATTTTTGCATATTCCCATAACAAGTTGCCATTGTCATGTGTCATGTAGCGACAGTGGCCATAAATAAATTACAACCACAACGGCTGCCTGCCATTATAAATTGGCCGATCGCTTGGTTAGTTTCGGCTTGCTCTCTCCTCATCTCTCTCTTTTGGTCAGATCTCCTATCCGTGGCCATAATTGTCAACAATAATAAAAGCTCATGACATAAACGGCCAGCAGGCAATTGGCAACAAACATCGCCGATGAGCGTGCGAAAGCCAATAAAAAAAATTACAAATAAAAACAACAGCAGCCGGCTGACACATCATTAACAAATTAAGGCAATCGACTGACTAATTGAAATTAAATGTACAGGGGAAAGTGTTTAAATTCACAGGATTTTCATTAAACAGGATTATGATAAAGTAAAGGTTATATTTTAAAAGTTAAAAATAATATATAAAATAGTTTAAAGGTCAAATAAGTATTTTTAGACACTTGTTTATATCGTAATTGTAATGCCCAAACTATTTGCTGACCGTTGTAATCCCTTGTTAACCATGTGTCCCCTCTGCCATTCTCGTTATACAGGAGGATCTGCTGATACATGGTGACTCCGTTTACGATATCATTGACAAACAGGATCACGCAACCATCCAGGCGGAGCTAAATCGGAACGTGCCGCCGCAGCCAGGTGGCCCCAGTCAAACGGGCAACAACGGTGGTGCCGGCGACTCAACGTCCAGCAATGGCAGCGCCGGCGGTGGAGCTGCTGCTGGTGGAGGTGCTGCTGGTACTGGTGCTGGTGGTGGCGCCTCCAGTCTCGAGGGCGAGCATCGCATGTTCCTCTGTCGCATGAATGTTAGTCGCAATGCGCGACGGCAAATGCGTTTCGGCGATCAAAAGGTGAGTCTTGGATGCACTGAGAAGAAAGAAGATATATTTTTATAATATAAATCAATTTATATATCACTTATTTGCTAGTAAAATATATAAAAAATTCTTTAAATAAATACAAGACTTCCTCAGCCCATATATTCAGTTTTCAAAAGTTTAAATACTTTAGTAACTGGCAGGGACTTAACCCAATTAAGTTTAAACCTTCTCCTATAACCCACTTTTTTCGCTCTGTGCATGTCTGTGTGCGGATGAGTAAGCGCGTGTAAGTCTCTGACAGAAATTGATGAATGAATCACCTGGGAAGCGTGTTGCGTGTAACACTTTACCACTCCGCAGGCTCCACTGTCTGAGCTCCAGCTTCGACATCTTGCTCTGGCATGAATTATGCATGAAGGTAGGGAAAATGGAAATGGAGATGGAGATGGAGTTGCGGGTTTGGCTTAGAGCAGAAGTCGCTCCACCATGCGTTTGAGCCGGCATGCCGGCGGCCAACTGGTCATACATCTTGGCAACGAGCCGGGTTTCCATAAGCTGACAAACGATGACAGTTGATGGGAAACGGGTGGGTGCCACAGTCTGCTCTGATTGGCCGCCTCTGAGACGGTGACTGAGCCGAAGACTGCGACTGAGCCTGAGTTGATGATGATGTGAATAAAACGAGGCAACCATATGAAGTTGTCAGAGTTGGCCGCTCTTCTTCTCAGCCATCTCGGCCGCAGGTTGAACAAGACAAGACCAAATCTGTCAACGTGTTGAGTCGCGCGTTGGCTGTGGCAGCAGCAGCAGCAGCATCAGCACTTACCCGTTTTGGGAATGACTGGGGCAGGGTTTGGGGACGGGGACACATGGTCGTTGGAGCTGCTACCGTGCACATTGTGGTGGGCGGTCGCTTCACTTTTATTCATATCTCTGACGATCCGCGTCGCGTCCATTTTTTTGTTGCCTCTTTTGCACAGATGTGCAGCGAGCGGAATTATGGAGATAAGGCCAGGCGTTGACAGTTGGCTGAAACGTTTTTAATTAAGTTGAGTGTTGGCAGTTAAGGTGCAGGAAGTGCCAGCTGGAAGATTTTTCACAGGCAGAAGGAAAAACCAGAAGTAAAAAGAGGTTTAAAGTTATGCTAAAGAATGCTTAAAATTATATAAAAAAAACTTAAAGAAACGTAATACCCTCTTAGAAATCTTTCTAGAATCTTTCAAAATTCTATAATAAAATCTTTCATAGTCTTTGCATATATTTAAAAAATATTTAAAAAATAGCTTCGGTAAAATACCGCCTTTCAAATCCATTCTCAGCCTTGCTCACAGCTCAAGTACCTAATCTAATCCGAGTCGAGTGTGGTGCCTTGGCTTAAGAGCCACATGAACTGAACTGGCGATAACCCACGGACCCAGTCGGGCCCAGAGCCGGGCCAAATCCAAGCACATTCACTCCCAGGCCGGCACTCGTTAATATGCAATAAAAATGGACCAATAAATAATTATGAATGAGGTCAGGCATAGTTCAGAGCTAGTACCCCCGTATGCCAGACGACGACGACCGAGTCCCATAGACAAAAGGCCCGAATAAAGTCAGAAGAGAAAAAAAAAAACAAGAAGAGACGGCGACAGCGCCAGCAGTGGCGCCTGCTCCCCAGCCTAAGGTCGTCTCATTTACCAAAAAAAAAAAAAAGAATAAACCCCACAAAACGACTGTGGCGTCTGCGTCATCCGACGGGTTTTTTTGGGGGATCGGGCGGATTGGAAGTCGGTATCAGGATCGTCGGGCTGCATTTGCATTTAAGCAGAAGAAGCTGCGCCAGCAGCACCCCATAAGCCTCGAAAATGCAATTGAAGTTGGGACGAAATAAATGCAGGCACGTTTTAATTGGGAGACAATGGCTCCAGCTCCAACTCCGACTACGGCTCCGTCTCTAGGTTTCAGACCAGCCTGAGACTGCCTGGTGTGTCTCTGTGGAGGAGTTGGCATACAAACATTTCTGTGATTGCCTTTTTTAAATTATGGAATCAGAGTAAAATGTCTATGCGAGTCTATGCCGGCATGCCGGCCCAAAAATGGCCATAATACATACTAACCACATACTACTCCCAACTGTCCCCACGTTGGGCGCCAATTTTCGTGGGAGCCCATGTACAAAATCTGCGAACAAAGCTCATTGGATTCCACTCCTCTTTCTGTGCCTTGCAGGTTGTCCTGGTCCAGGGTCACTATTTGTCATACCTGCCGCTCTGCAGTCGCAACGAGCCCGTCTTTCTGGCCACCTGCACTCCGATCGCCATGCCCGAGACCAGGGAGTGTGTGGTGCAAGGTGCCACCAATGTCTTCACCACGATCCACTCGATGGACATGAAAATAGCCCACATCGACAAGAAGTGAGTAGTATTAATATCCCATATTAACTTAATTATATCTATGTGCATTATATATATTGCTTTCAGTGGCGAGTTTCACTTGGGCTACGACAAGAGCACGTTACAGGGCACCTCCTGGTACAATCTGATTCACAGTGAGAATCTGAGGGAGGCGCAGAATAAGCACAGGCTAAGTAAGTATGGGTAAAGTAATTATTATATTTTTGATAAAGTTTACTTGAGGGAATAAAGTAAATTAATATGGTTTCTTGTCTTAATTAGTTGTTAAAAATCTGGATATGCTGGTATTCATTTTTGAATTTTTATCCAGGTTTTTTTCCAAGTGAATTAAATAAATATCTAAACTTCTAGTTTTGTATTCTTTAAACCAGTTTTCCTTTGAAGTCGCCTAATGAATTTAATTTAAATTGAAATAAATTAAATGCGAAAGAACCTTAATTTGTAACTTATTCGTATTTGTTTTTCTTTGTTAACAGTCACACAATCAGAACAGGATCGCAGTTGTATTCTTTTAGTGCGAATGCAGCGCTCTAGTGGCGAGTATACCTGGGTTCATGTGGTTCTACAGGTGCGAGACAGTCCCGATTCCACCCAGCAGCCTGTCATTGTATGCACCAATCAAGTGCTTAAGTAAGTTTGTTAATATTTCAACCACTTTTTAATTATTAAAAATATAAATTTGGTTAATAAACTAAATTCTATGCTTTCTTTGAATTATTTAAAATATCTGAAAGCCCTTTCTGCATAAATTTAACCCTTGACTTCCTTGATTTACCTTCTCCCTTAGCGATCGCGAGGCTTCTATAATGCTGGCCAACTCCTGGCTGTATCACTACTATACCGTCCAGTCGAAGATACAGTTTGGCATGCCCCTGGACAGCGGTATTCGCGTGCCACCTGGCACCCCCTCCAGTGGTGGTTACTACAGCCCCCACTCATCGCATCCGCCGTCCACGCCGGGTGGTGCCACGCCTAGCCTTGGCATAAGCGGTACCTTTGGAAGTCACCATCATGCCCACCACCCTCATTCACATCCGCACCATCATCATCATCATCACCATCCAGCGGCTGCCTACCATCATCATCCGCACATGGGAACCTACGGCACGGGCGTGTATCATGCGGAGGCGGGCATAGAGATCAAGGAGGATCAGCCGCTGTTCAGTTTTCAAGAGCCCGTGGACTACAGTCAGGTGAACAGTCAGGTGAGCCCTCCGAATGCCGCCAGTACTCCCAACCCACCTGTGTCCAAGTCCGCAACGCCTCCGCCACCAAAGAAGAGAGCAAGGAAGCTGGAGCCACTGTACCTGCACGCGGAGCGTTCTCCAGCAGCGGCGATTACCCCAGAGCCGGACTGCTACGCCCTGCACTCCCATCCGGCGGCCGCCTATGCCACATCCTCCTCGGCGGTGGCCAGTAGCTCCGATGCCTCTGTCATCTATGCCACAATAGTGCCGACAAGACCACGGCTGCCCAACAAGACGCTGCCGCCAGATCCTGCTGACTTTATTGAGCAGTGGAACCCCAGTCCGCCGTGGTCAGAATCGGCACAGAAGGCCTCGCTGGATAGCTTTGGGTCCTCGCACGAGCTGAGTCCTTGCATCACCACAACGCCGCCCACACCCACCAGTGCCACGCCCCATAATAGCGGACTGGGCACCCATGGGAGCATGGGACCCGCCTTCAGCTTTGAGTGGATGTCCGATCCCCTGGTGCCGGTGACCTACCAGCAGTGGCCGCCCTCGGGTGATCATCACCAGCATCTCTCCCAGCACCTGAGCCAGAGCCAGGGACATCAGAATCCTCTGCTGCAACAGCATCTGGTCCAACAGCAGCAGCAGCAACTATCCCAGCAGCAGTCACATCTCCATCAGCAGCAGCAGCAGCATCAGCACTTAGCACTTCACCACGGGCGTGCGGAGAACTCCCTGGAGGGGGGCTCCTCCACGACGGATCGGGGTATGGGGGTGGTAGTAGTGCAGCCGCCGCCAATACCCATATCGATACCCCTGTCGATACCCATTCCGATACCGATACCAGTGGCCACGGGCCATGGGGATGCCGGGGAACCGGTTGAGGATGGAGGTTAGTACGTTTTTATTTTCCTGCGTTTCTTTTTGATTGGCACGATTTTCAGAAGCGGCCAATTGGCACTCGGCCGCTAAGTAATTAAGGCCTCCACCAGAGTCAAAACAAAGCCGAATACTAGTAAAAGATATCTTAATTATTGATAAGCTATAAGCTTCCGCCAGCCACATGCCACGCTTATACTAATGCCCCCCCTAATGCCCGTCCTCCTCGTTCTTTGCAGATCCCAAAAATTAGAGGCCAGCAAAGCTTGGAAATTCCCAGAGTTTGGAGCGGAGCGGCCTGCCACGGCGGCCAGGTGATAATCACACTTAAATTAATTGCCACTTGTCATCTTAGCGTTTAAATTATTTTTATCTAACGAAGAAAACACAACGCTATAACACATTCATTTCTCGATATAACAACTAATTTAAGCCTGGAGCCCTTACGTTTTCAACCATTCAACTTTTTGTACGTGCAATCTGGAAAAAACCAACACTTAAAAATATATATATGTATTTCCGAGTAGCACTTGGAAATTAGTTTTGCGATAAATGGAAACTGAAGTGAAAAATGCGAAAAATAAAAAAGCCAAGAGAGCTCTATTAGTTGTAGGGTCTTTATTAGCGTTATTTTTATGGCGCGCGCTTAAAGTTTTTACGAGTATTTTTATATCTTGTATTCGTAACATTGCAACTATATGCATACATATAGACTATTTAGGTTAATTATTATATTTTATTTATTAAACATTTATTTATATACATATTTATTACTATGCTGTCGTATTTTGCTTATTGAATAAACAAACTTGTAAAGTATTTTCGTTTAAACTGGAAGTGTTTATTTAAAATGATGAAGCTTTGGGAAAGGAATTGGGATTATGGAAATTATTCGAATATATGAATAAATATTTACTAATCTATAAAGAAACATATACATATGTTCATCTGATATTAATTCAAGACAGTAAACCTTTTACGCTTTTAACCATTAACAATTCTTATAAAATCTAATCTGAGTTTTAAAACTGTATTATCCATTTTATTCAAGTGTTTAAAAACTCTTATTTAACCTTTAATAACTTAAAACTTAAAACAAATCCCTGAACATATCATAAACAAACTGAAAATCTCAGCAATTTAGCATTCGATCAGTGATCACAAGGGGTAGAAAATTCGATTACCATAATAGGCGAAAAGCTCTGGGAAAATGTCATGATTTTCTTTTTGGGTCCATTAATGCCTTGCACTCTGAACCAGCCGCCGAATCCGAATCTTTCGCTTTCGCCCAGAAAAATCCAAAGCCCCTGAAAGCCACTCCCACTCCCCACACCATAGAGACATTCATAGACATTTTCAATTTCAAACTGCAAGTATGAGTATGGGTCCGAGTACGAGTACAAGTACGAGTACACCACTTCATGGTGACGACGGACCGCCGATGAAACCCCAGCGACGACGCAGAACAGACGCCAGACGTTCAGTGGGATTTCACACACAGACCCACTCGAGGAGGAGGCTGTGGCTCCTTTTTTCGGCTGCGGCTGCTGCTGCTGCTGTTGCCGAGATCTTTTGGTGATATCCAACAAATATTGTAAGTAGAATGGCCAACAAAATAACGTACAAAAACCAAAAACAAAGCAAACAAAAAAAACCAAGAGGGGAGAAAAAAAAAACTAAACTGAACGGAACGGAACGCTGACGATGTAGACGCCGCAGCTGGCGCGATTGAATGACTCCTCGTCGTCGGTCGTCTGAGATACTGACTGGCTATGGGGATCCAAAAAGTGCACTAAGAAAAAATATAATACAGGTTTGATATAAAGTAAAGATATTTTTCAGATTTTAAATCAATTCTTTGGAGGAAAATTCAAACCCCTTTTTAGTGTATATTAATTTAGCGAACCTAAAGAAAGACTTACTCCTTGACGATATTATTTTATTGCTTAAAAAATAATATCCCATGGATATTCATTCATTTTTCTCTGTGTAAGTCTGGGCTTTCGATGGAGATGGAGACCTGGGACTGGACGACGACGACACACTTACAGGCGACGACGTCGGCCAACAGCAGCATTCTCAGAAATATTGGTGTAGGTCACAGTCGCAGATAACGCGCTGGGGAAGGAGCTCGGGTTGGGGGGCTTGGGTTTTGGACTTGGGATTCGAATTCGGCTGGAGATTGAGCCTGTCTATGTGTGTTTGTGTGTGTGTCCGTTTGGGCCGCAGTCCTGGCCTCATTGTATGCAAATGTGCCACGATCGCCACCCGCCCAGGCCGATTCCGATGATCCTCCTTAACCGATCCTTCCCCTGCCATCCATCGGTCACCGGTGCTCTTCATGGGTGCCAGAATCGTTTTGTGTGCAAGTTACTCGCGTTTGCGTTTTCTGTATTTCTGTTTTCCTTTTTTTGTTTGTTTTTTTTTTACGATTTTTTTGAGTTGTGCGATTTTTGGCATTTTTGCATTTCCTTTGTCCTAGCCAGAAGAGATGCTTATGTAAGCGACAACGACCGGCCAGAGACGACTCCTGGCTGAGGCTGCAGGAGCAGCACGAGGACTGTTACATATTTCCTTTAGGCTTTTAATATTAGCCAAAAGGCTAAAATCACATAAAAGACCCGTGGTCATGGCTGAGGATATATATTAGCGAATTTTATGTACTCTTTCAAAAGAGATTAAAATTGAAAGTTATAAGGAATGGCTGAAGCTTGGCTATTTTATTTTATGTTTAAAAGTGAATCTTGTTTTAAATAATGATTTAATTTATATTTTGAAGACTAAAAAGTATAAAATTATTTCTGACGATACATTTTTATCTCTATAGATTTTTATTTTGAATAAAAATAAGTTAATTAACTTAAATGCTTTTTTGAATTATAAATTATAGATAAATAAGAACCTATATATAAAAATATTATAATAATTTCCTCAGTACTTTTGATCCTTAAACTTAACCATCAACTTGATCAAGGGACTCCATTTGAAAGTGTATTTTAAAAAGGTAAACAACGCAAAGAAATTTATAAATAAACGTCGACGACAATGGGAATGCTGTGCAAACAAAACAAAACATTTCAACAGGAACAACATGTAATTTTTGTACCACTGTCCCCCTTGGATCTCCTCCATCCTGCTGAGCCTCCAGAGGCTTCAGAGCCTTTAAAGCCTCCCACAATCCCGGCCATATGCAATGCCTTGGCTGGGGTCACGACACTTTTTGTGGCAGCAAAAAGACGCAGCAGCCACTGCCACAGCAGCAGCAGAGAGCAGGCCGAGTCTAATAGTGGGAGAAGTATGGCAAAGAGTCCCTCCCGAAGTTTCCCCCCCGGGCTCGTGGCTTATTGTCTTGGCTAAAAAAAAAAACAGTTGGCCCCGGCTGGAGTTGGGAGCTTGGACATTGCACAGACCCTGGAACTGAACCCGGACCCGAATCCGAGACCGAACCTATCTGAGGCGACTGCCTGGCGTCAAGAGAATGCGTCGAGCTTGTTGCCTTTTGGCTTTGATTTCGCATTGTGGAACTTTTCCTAGGAAAAAATGTTACATGAAATTAATAAATAGGCAAATAAATGTTAAACAGCTGCTGTTTTGTACGTGTTCTGTTGCACGCGCACGGTAGCCATTGTGCTGCACACAGGGTGGTGCCTTGCAGCTAGGAGCCTGGATCTGCCTCAAGCTGATGCTGGTGGCGATGATGCTCCCCAGGTATTTGCATAACACCACGGACAGCCAAAAGGATCCCCTAGGTATGTATAAAGGCCTGGTTCTATCGCTCTTTCCCAGGCCCTAACCATTTATGTTACTTCCTGCAAAGCGAAACTTGAAGCTCTTAACCCACAACAACCTGCACTGAAGAAGGTAAATGTTTAATAAAACAAAAAAGAATTTTAATATCATTTTAATATTTTTGTATAAGTACACGTCAGAAAATGGAAACGGCTTAGATACTCTAAATATTTTTTTATATAATTTTATTCCTATTTTAGTTATTATTTTTCTGTGTACTAAGCAGTCCCTTGAGGGCCTTTCGGGGGTCTGCGCATTGTCTTCGCTCTCTGCCACTGCATGCCAAATCATTTTTATGCAGTTCACAGCAATTGCCATTGGAACTAATGCCCATACACTCTTTAAAGCCAAATATATTCCGCTCCGCCTTCACCAAGAGCCATTTGCGAATATCGTAACTAAAATAACAAGAGCCCCAAGGAGGGCTGTCCATTAGGATGTCCTACAAAGGAGGCTGCAGAGCATATTTGTCTTAAAAATAAGAGAGAAAAATGTTTACCGGCTCTAATTAGATTTATTTTCTTTTATGTTAACTAGTATTTAGTATTATAATAACCTAAAATAATATTTTAATATTTAACTAAATAAACTAAAATGAATTTAAACTATATTGCACCCCTAAAAATCCTGTAACCTACTTTAAATACACGAATTTCTATATAATATAGTTTCCTTCTTAGCTAAAATCTTAGTTCAACTTTAGTTCAAAACCCACTTACCTTCGTTTGAATTTCAAATGTTAGAAGGCGGCTTTTTGGTGCTATATTAATATGTAAGCTGCGCCACAACCAAACAGCAAACATAATAATTCGTCTATAATTTATACACAATTGTGGATAAAATGTGTACAAGCATAATTTACACATAAACAAGGCAGAAAGCCAACTAACAACGGCCAACACAAACACACACCATTGCAAGGAACCAGGCTTAGAAGGGGCAAAAAAAGAGGCAGCAAAAAAGCAAGGAAGATGAGTGCGGACCAGGTGACTGAGAAATTGATCAACGCTGTGGCGGGACATAAACTAAAAGCTTATTTAACATTAATTTCGCCACGAAAATCACAGAGCAATTTTAAACATAAGTTACAAGAAGATAGAGAGGGAGAGGAGGAGGAGGAGAATCCCCTTTGGAAGCTGCGGCCAACATGCGAAACCCTCTTACCATCCCACCCCACCACCTGCCCATTGCAGTCCCGTGTAATCTAAGCTGCCATTAAACAAAATACAAGAAAAAACTTACGAAAACATATGCTACATATTACCTCTGTGGGGCAAGGCTAGGTGTACAGCGGCGGGGGGCGCTGGCGGAAGTAGGGAAGCGAACTTGTACAATGGGATGAAGAGGCATTTTACTTTAAATATATCTTATATTTTATTATCTATTATTATTATCTATTTTATTATATTAATATTGAAATAAAATTATTCTTATAAACTTCCTTAGATATTCTTTATTTTTCCATAACCCAAAATCCCTTGAAAATATTTTATAATATTCCCCATTGTCCAACGACCTGCCCGGCTGGTTGCAGTTCGGCTGTTTGGCAGACAGTCGGGCCTTTAGTGGGAGACGCAGAAACATCTCTCCACGCTGAGCAATTGCACCTGCCCCGGCCTGATCTGCTCCGATCCGCGCGTCTGGCTGGTTGCTCTGGTTTGCTTTGAGTTTGGGTTTTGGCTGCAGCATTGGCTGTGGCTTTGGTTTTCGGCTTCAGCTCCGGTAGGATCGCACTACGTACTCCGGCAAGCGAGCTACAAAGATTTAGAGCGACATTAGAGCAGTCAATCCATCATGACTGAACATTACCATAAATTACACAGAAATAATTGATTATTACGAGGAGACGGAGAAGGACAGACGGGGCTCCAGCTTTTTGCACATGCAACGGGCTCCCACCGCCTGCGTGTGTGTGTGTCTCCGTGTACGTGTTAGCCTGGCCCAGGCCCAGGCCAAGCCAAGCCAAGCCAGGCCAGGCCAGGCCAGGGATCTCTCAGCGAACCGATTTAGTTTAAATTACGCTGGGAAGA